TTGTTACTGAATGTCTGCTGGACTGGGAGATAGGGGTGGGGAATGTGCAGTCATCTTGCATCTCATTCTACAGATTAGAATGCCACTCTCGCCTCTTTATTAACAGGTGAAATATATATATATATAATGCAGAGAACAAATACAAATAGTTAATGACACTCATTAACTAAATAACTAAATAACTAAATAGTCTCATTAACTATCTGTTAATGACATATATATATGTTAAGTGACATATATATATAATGCAAAGAACAAATACATATATGCATTATATATATGTCACCAGTTAATATATATACATATATATGTATACACACATATAATATATAATAAATATATAATATTTGTATAATATATAATATATATTATAAATAAATTTATATAAAATAGATATTATATATGTATATACATATATATGTGTATACACATATACCTATATAAGAAGTACACATAAATTTCATTTTATTGGAAATTTTAAAAAAATATTATTTTTCTGAATTTAAGTAAAAAATTTATATCCCCCAAGATAGCCAATGACTGTAGCTTCTGTTTCCTAAAATATAACATATTTATGCTACAAATATAGAGAATGTGCTTTAAAAAGTTCATAGTGGTATTTGCATATGTACATATTTTTATACAAAATCAATATGTAGAATAGAGGGATTAGTTTTTCCATTCGACAACTATGAGACAAAAGTTCTCCAACCTTTTGAAAATATGGGACACTTCCCTAAAATACCCAAACTAATAATTAGTATTCATAAAAGATTAATAAAAGATCATCTTTTGGATCCTTGTCATTTCATATCTAAATCTAGAGGAGCTTTTATTATGTAAGTTAATTAAAGGGAGTCATTGATTTTAGCTATTGGTTATAGCAGAATGTGACAGCGCCAGAAAGATATACCTTAACAAGTGGAAATACCATTTCATTCTGAAAGTGAAACTCAGGGAGATCAGTGAGGTAAGTCATTGCTCCCTCCCTATCAGATAAGTGACTGAGAGTTTAAGAAACACCCAAGTTCAGAAACGAGGGTGTGTCTGTATTATGCTGTGCTTATATTAGCATAAAGGTTGAACTTCATCCTTTGTATGACACTCATTGTGAGGAGGCCTATCAATTGAAGGGGTTTGAAGAAACCTCAATGGAGTCTTGAAACTGACGGAATATAGAGATTTTTGCCTAGAAAATGTTAATTTTGTGTTCCTACTGTTAGGCTTCTGTAAACATTTTAAAGAACCGGACTCCCTTTTTCAAACCAAACCTTGAAATAAACAGGTAGAAGCAAAGGGGCACTGGTCGAAACCTGCCCATCCCTTTGCCCTGCCCCAAACCATCCCCCTTGTAAGCCTCATCCCCTAGCCGGGGCCAGAGAGGATTTTGGTTATTGAAAAAGGGTAGGGTGATGCTAGCTAGTTAATACTACTCTGCTTCTATTTCATGAAAATGCTGGTTAGAGTATTGTAGTTTACACCATATTAATAAATCGACATTTAAAAAAATTTGTTCTTGCATCAGCCTCGTATGGTGATGGTTAATGTGAGTCTGTTCCTGGAAGGCTGATTACTCTTGCATTTGCTGTGGGATTAAGATTTTTAAAAAGAGAGACAACAACCAGCCTTTATGCCAGTAGAGCTAAGGCTACATGATGGCTGTAAGGATCTCTGCAAGTTTGTGCCAATCTCTAATGCTCAGCTAATAATTAGCACTCCTTAAGGGGGGCTGGGATCGGCAATAACAGTAATCTCTTATGTATGTTCCTGGCATTTCTTAGAAGTTCCATGAAAGGATGACTACCTTTTAGTAGAAAAAACAAATTTGTATTACTCTAGTCTGTCAATGTTACTCATCTTTGAGAATTTGTTTTTAAATTACAAACCTTTAGTTCTGCTCAAATGTTATTTCTTGAACACTACGCATTTGTAAAATACTAAGTCTTGTGAAGTACCAGTTTGTAAAATACTAGTCCTAACTCTGAAGACCCTGTTTCCAGTATACATGGAATAAAAATGTTGGAAATAAGCTATTACTATCCTCTAAGCAAGCCCATTCTTTTTTTTTTTTAAAGATTTTATTTAGTTATTTATTTGACAGACAGAGATCACAAGTAGGCAGAGAGGCAGGCAGAGAGAGAGAGAGGAGGAAGCAGGCTCCCCGCTGAGCAGAGAGCCCGATGTGGGGCTCGATCCCAGGACCCTGGGATCATGACCTGAGCCGAAGGCAGGGGCTTTAACCCACTGAGCCACCCAGGCGCCCCGAGCCCATTCTTTTATATATATATTGCCTTGAGTTTTCAAAATACTCAATTTAGGATTGTTTATTAATGTGTAGTCTTGGTTCTCTGAACTGTGAAATAAATTACATTTTTTTCTTTGTTATCCCTCAAGCAGAAATTTGGCTTTTCTACTATTTATCATAGCTTTTCAGTTGTGTGTCCTTTCATCCTAATTTGTTATACTTTATTCTAGAGAGTTGCATATATAAAAATAGAAATAAAAAGCCAAGAAAAGTCCACTTAAAAAATATTCATTTGAGATCTCCTTTCGGTTTAAATATATTTTAGTTTTACATCTCCTTTAGTAATTGGCTGTGCAAATTGTTGCTGTTGTTTTTTTTAAACTTCTAAAGTGCTTTGCATATACAGTTGCCCACCAATGGGAGCAGGTATACAATGTTGAACTATGTGGTAATTGAGAAATATTCGGAGATGTTTGGGGTATCCTATGACCCATAGGCATTACTCTAGCATATGAACAAAGTAGAATAGAATGGACTGAAAAAAATCAAGAAATTTTAAATAATAGTTATTATAAAGAGAAATCAATTTCCACATCATTTTGCAAGTATTTGTACTTGCCCCTTTCCATGGAGACCCACATTTTACATAGTGTGAGGATTAAGTGTTGGTTTTGAAATAAGTTAATGTTCATCATCATATCAGCATCATCAGCACATGAAACACTGACCTATCAATCTGAATTCTCTTCCAGATCTACTCCCAACATCAAGTGTAATAACAAAGAAATATTATTCTTTTGGGACTCATCTCCAAAATTGGCGCAATAAATGTCATACTCTCCTCAGCATGATTCTGTAAGGCTAAAGTAATACCTGTGAAAAAAAAAATTTTTTTTTTCAAACCATTAACACTAATGCAAAGTGGTATTATTCTTATTATAGAGACCTTAATAATATAGTGGTAACTCATGCAGGCCCTGGAGCCATACTTTCTTGGTTCACATCATGACTCTTATTGGCTGTTTGACCTTGGGTATGCTACCTAATATCAGAGTGTCTCAATTTCCTCATTTGTAGAATGGGACAAATAATGGTCCTTACCTAATAGTGTTGTGAGGATTAAATGAGATAATAGCATAACATCCTTAGTACAGGGCCCTGAGGCAAGGTGGGCATGAGGGCAAGGCAATTTTTCCTTGCTCTTAAATAGGAATATTTAAATATGTCATATAATATCACATATTGAATCACTCTGTGATGCTTGATTCCCAGCATTCAAAGCTTGTCAAAAATAATTCAGATGGGAGTTTTCTGGTTCAGATCACAATGACCTAACGGAAGAGTTTTATTCCCTTTGGAAAAAGGAGGTCATGAAGACACTGCATAAGCTATAGAAAATCCCCAAATATATTCTCAAGTTTCTTTCAAGCTGTGGTACCATCTGAACCTACAAGTTTGAATGGCTTTTAAGGGAATCATTCAATTCTTTCTCATCACAGGAATACTTCCATTAAGATCATCATTTGAGCGGCACCTGGGAGCTTTTGGCTCAGGTCATCTTCTCAGGGTCCTGAGATCCTGCCCCATATTGGGCTCTCTGCTCATCAGGGAGCCTGCTTCTCCCTCCCTCTCTCTGCCTGCCTCTCTGCCTACTTGTGATCTCTCTCTCTCTGTGTCAAATAAATAAGAACTTAAAAAAAAAATCATCATTTGATCAAAATGAAAATTTCCCAAATCATGAACAATTTCAAGACTAAATTTATACCTGGTTTTGAATTTGTGGGAAATATCCCCACCTCCCCCAATTCTGGGTAGTATTTTCTGTGATGACAGGGCCTCACCGGAGGAATCTTAACTAAAGATAATGGCATGATACATTAAATGTTGCCAATATTCCATTTAATATTAAGCAATTACATAACAGCTTTTTAAATGCCTGTTAAAACTGATACATTCATATTGAGTACACTGCTACTTGTAAGGTCCAGTCTTCGATGAACACCATTTAAGTGCCAACCTACTATTAGAAGAGTTTACTATTTTATTCTTGCTCCAAAATGGCATCAACAGTGATGGGGGGCTTTCAGGGGATTGTTGAACAGCATTTTTGGAACAAAGGGTAAGCTTGAGGAAATACAAAATATCAACTGTAGGCATTGCAATGCTTTATCTCAGCACTCCACAAATCTACACACCCCCTAATCAAACAAGCAGCTTTATGGCATGCGCAATTGCAACTGAAGTATAACCGACTTCCGCAGAACTGGCTTCCACAGGATTTCCTGTCCAAAAATTACCGTGTGGTCATCTGTAGCTGAATGGTTATAAATCTTTAAAGTTAGCAAGACACTCCTAGCCATTTTTTTTTTTTTTTTTTTTTTAAAGGAGACAGAGTGACCAAACCCTGTCATATGCAAATTTTCTCCGGAGTTCTTCCATTCCCATTCTTTGCCCTGGCTAGGAAGGGAAAAATAAAAACAAGCAAACAAAAACCCTCCCTTCGCAATATCTGTTTGTTCAAGGTGTCATTTCCCTGGGAGGTTATTTACAGATTTCTTATTGCTTCGCTCATCTTGCCTGGTAATTACTTACTGAAAGAAATCTGCTCTTTAGGGTGAGCTGTTCCTTTAACCCCTTTGGCTCACTCTTCCTTGGAGGCGAGCAAGGGCATGCTGCAGTGTCTGGGAACCCACCTAGAGGGCCCCCTTGACGCCAGCACATCCCCTGTCAGGCAGCAGTCTCTGCAGCCGGAGCGGGCTGCTGCAGAGTTCATGTACAGTACCACGGAGCCTGCAAGTGTCCTGAGCTGCTCAGAGCCGGGCGGCACAGCCCAGGGCAGACAAGGCGGCTGCGAGGATTCCAAAGGTTCTGCTGGAAATTCGGAGCTGGGAGACCCCAGCAGGAGCCTGTTGCCTTTGTGTTTTAAAAGCATGCAAGGTCTGTATAGCTCGGGCATGAGAATCTTTCAGAAGATGTCAGCGCCTCAGAGTAAATGACACCTATTGGGGAATTGAATTTGGGGTAAAAGAGAGAGAGAGAGAGAGAGAGGATAAAAGAAAGACAGCGGGAGAAGAAATTCTTAGACAACGTCTGACTTGCAGCCGTGAAATTCATTTTCTTTCCAAGGCAACATATGAAAAGCCCGCACATGGTTTTAATAACAAATTAAAGGGGATTCTGCAGTGAAAGGATCGATAGCTTAGTCATTTTACTTAAGGAGAGCAGACAGACTTATTATGGGGTTAGGCAGCAGAAATGAATCTCCTCATAACAGCACCTTCTGAAGTCATGACGGTAGCTAATGGTAATCCTGTCCTGCAAAGCAGAAATTGCTCCTTGCCTTCCTACTTTTACCATTGAAAACCGGCAATTCAGAGATTTGGGAAAGAAGTTGGCTTTGATTATCCATGGTTTCTAGCCCCTCTGCCCTGGTCTTTGTCCGACGTGTCTCAGAAGGCAGCACTGCGTTAAAGTGACCACACATGAATATGTGCCTAAGAAAGAAGAAAAAGCAATATTCGTTTCTAAAGGACAGCATGGCAAAGCGACCTGAAGTTTTCCATTGCCCTTCTAACACTTCTTTAACAAGGATAACAAGAAACTGTCTTTTGACTCCTTTTTTCCCACATTCCAGAGTCCTTCCTGAGAGGATGCATTAATTTACACTCTAGGCAGTTGGATTATACCAGGACAATATTTGCCACCATTTAGGATTAGCGACTGAACTGGTTATTTTAGTGTGTTGACTAACGAGTGGAACCTAAATGGATGGACCCATACCTGCAGTGCTCTGTGATATTTCTTTTTCCAAATCCTGGAAGGGCTTTTGTTGTTGCTGTGTGTTTTTTGGGGGGGATTTTTTTGGAATTCAGTACTTGTTGCAATAATTGCCCATGATAGCTGCTCAAACAGGAGAGTTGGGATTCATCTATGAAAATCACTACATGTAACATATGAGACAAGGAAAATATTAATGACAGAAGATCTGCAAACATGATGCACGTGAATAATTTCCCCTTTAGAAGGCATTCTTGGATATGGTGAGTAATCAATGTCCCCCTTTAGTTTGTAAAGCTCAGAATTATAAAATTCCATGACAGGTGCCAGAGGTGAATTTTTCTTGAACAAGAATATGGGTATCAAATGAGGATAAAGCGTGAAACATGTTTAAAACCTAATGTTGTCTGAGAAAGTAATGGTTATGCAATAACAAATTACTTGTTAATATAAAAGCATCCCAAAATAAAAATTCCAATATGAGGACATTTACAATTGCTAACATTTCATAGAGAAAAAAAAACAATAATTTTGTGAATATCAGGTATTTAACTAACAAATAAAAGAAAAAGGGAGGTTTGGGTTGGTTTGTTTGTTTTCTTTTCAGTTTCATTTGAAAATTCCCTGGGGAAGGACATACATGCATTTCTGACATCTAATGTCTAATGTCAACTTGCTTGCTCTTAGGTCTTTTTGGATTTCCAAAAGAAGGGAAAACTTAGAATGTCGGCTCAGTTTTAAAATAATACTAAGATGTGTCAGTGTCTCACATATAAGGAATTTAACTGCTTAGAAGTTAAGTAACTATATATAAAATCTAATTTAACTATGTAGAACTCTTTTCACCAGAATGAACCAATTTAATAGAATTCTAAAACATGAATCTAGGATGAAGTGTTCAGACTCTTAAAGAATTTGCTTAGTGCATTGATATTATATTGTGTATTAAGGCTCAATGCAATTTATTAAGGTCCCAGGACATGTGACATCATGTACTATTTCTTATTAGAGTTTATGACTAAATGTGTATAGGAAATAATTGCTGAGGGTATTATAAGGACAGAACTCATTATTTTAAAATTGTTTGTTTTTACCACACCTTTAGGGCTGACTGGATTTCAATCTCATAGCAAAAACTTTGTCAGTGCTTGATAAAGTCACATTTTAAGGTTTTGTGGCTATTAACATGGTTTGTTTTAGATACTGCAATGTGTCTGATTTTGAAAATATATTTTCCTGGTAAATTTTTTTGGCTGGTCTTAGGAGAAGTCATAAATATCAAAATAGAGGGTTGTGAGGGTTTTTCTAACTACTTTTATGACCGTGTCTCAAATGAAATCTTCCTGGTATCTTAAGGCTCTGCCAAAATCATCTGCTGGTTTGTTATAGATGTTTGAGCTTGTTAGCTGAAAGTCAGTTGTAGAGAAGGGTGGGTGACATCCTCAGTCACTCTGGGGAGGAACTGATTTTCTCTCACTACCAGAGACATCCAGAACTGACGTTGTGGCGTATTTCCTTCTTTGCCTTCCAGAGCCATGGTCCCTTATCTCTACTGTGTTTGGGAGGGAGTCTGGGTGACATGCCTGCAAACCTTAATGGCCCCCTTCCAAGTGCATTACCAGAGTTCCCAACTCAGTGGGAGCTTTGGGTCTATGGCCTTACTGGGCCTGATGGTGAGGTTCTGACATCAGCAGTAAGGTCCTTGTCATTCTTACAGAATTCAATCACATAAATAGTCTTTAACCCTAAGGTAAGAAGGTCTTAGAAACAGTCCCTGGCACGTAGTAGGCATTTGTCAAATATTTTTTTTTTCTTCTATTCCTCTGCCTTTCTTCAAGGTTAATTTTGAACCTATTATAATTTGTTTAGGGTGGAAATTACCATTCTCATTTCTAAAAAGTGTACCTTGCTATAAAGCAACAGTTTTTGTTCTGCCTGAACCAGGTTGTTTGGGTCCATTTGTTTATGTTGCAATAGGTAGAATGCATGTACTCATCTTTGAATACCTAACATTATGACCACCTCATATTTTGCTACAGTTACCTCACATGTACTTTTAACAGGAGAGAAATTCAACTCTGTAGTTTTTGAAAGAATGCAAATGTGCTTATTCATGCTCCTCTAGGTCTGTAATATATATGTTTGAAAGCTGTATAGAGAAGTTGAGAGTCCTGGTGGTTTTCCTTTGTGCCTGAAGCTCCATAACCCTTCATACACTTCACGGCATCATGTGTCGATTTGTTGTTGTGGCCAAACGTAGCCAGTGTGGAGTGTGAGTGTTCTGTAGATCTCTTCTTGCCTGGGCCCTTTAGAAGGAGTCATTAATAAGACATTGACCTCAAAGGGAGAAGGTGGTGTTTTTTTCCAGGTGACCCAGTTAATGTCGTGCTTGGTTCTCAACTTGCCTGATTGTTGTTTTCCTCTGATTTATAACCTCACCTTTCTGTTCTGCGGTAAGAGATTCTAGGTATTTGTTGACAGAAAACCTCCCTTCCCTTTGTCCTACTGTAAGAGTCCCTAAAGGATTGTATTCCATGCTCATGAATTACTGTGCTGAGAAGGAAGGATTTGCCAAGTTGTTCTCCTTTTCATCTCTGTGGGCTCACGTTCCTCATTTCCATGTGTAGGTCTGATCTTGTCTTTTCTTTCTTTTGTCGTCTTCTTCTCCTCCTTCTCCCCCCTCCTCCTCCTTCTACTCCTCTTTCTTCTCCTCCTTCACCTTCTTCTTCTTTCACAAAGGGGCAGATCAGAAGTTGGCCACAGATCAATGCCAGGGACTAAAAAACATTTTAAAGGAGATGTGTGCTTTGGTTTGATGAGCCCTGGCTCATCTCTAAGAAGGCTCTAACCCCTTTGGATAGGCAGGACAAAGAGCTGTGTGCTGTTTTTCTCTCTGCTTCTGAGGAGCAAGAAGGAGGGAAAATTGAGATCTAGAGTAGTCTTCCAACATTTATCAGAGGTAATGATTCAAGTAGAAGCCTGTGTATACTGCTCCCACTTGGACTCTCATCCTCTTGCCCTAGGGCTAGTGTGTTGAGAATTGAGCAATAGTAATACAAATTCATTGTTTATTGGTTACAAGTTAAAGTTAATAGTGGTCTTTTTACTTGTTTTAATAGAACACTAACCCATAAGTGCTCAGAGAGTGGTATGAAGAATGTGCTTTTCTTGTTTAAAGCTACGTTAGAAATATTTGCTGGAGAGTTTTATTATGAAGCCTTCTTTCCATTACATTTGTTGACCTTTTTACTTCCAAGCCAAACAAAGATTAGGGTTTGCCTCACTAGGTAAATAAGTACTATATAGCTCTTCTTATTTTTCATTCTGGCTGGTTGTGAGCATATAGTGATAGTCTGGCAGTTCAGGGATGGGTCTTCTTGCATGGTTGGAAAAAAGGAATTAAAATCCACTCTCCAGGAATTTAAATTCCATTTAGTAGCAAGTAAAATGAATCTGCAGAAACATCATGGCCTAGAGTTATATCCAGGGGTCAATCAAGAATGACATAACATAGTGTGCCTGTGTATAGATGTATGTCTGTGGATTTTTGCCTAACGTAAAAGTAGAACACCTCCATGTAGTCTGATTTATGAAGATGCTATAATTTTATGCCAGAAACACCAGGGCTCTCTTGAATGCAACTGAATTGTACACGTTTAGGATTTAGGAGGGTGCTTTATTTAAATGCCTTTGCTTCCTTTTTATGATGGACTCAAGTTACTCTGAGAGAAGACAGTGGGAAACAGAAGCCAAAGGCCACTGCTACGGGAGGCTGCCCAGGGCTGGTATTAGCGTGTGCCTCTGAGGAAACCTGAGGAAGAGTTGGGATTAGTGACTGTAGATGGTGATTAACTGTTTTACTTATTGGTGCTTAGGACTGAATTTTGTAAAGGCTGCACATTTAAATTATTTTATCAAGCTTTCTTTATGGTGCTGAGAGGTGACTCTAGTCAAGAGGCAAAATAGGGTGATTATGGTAACTTGACTCCACATTGAGGCTTCTTTTCCCTTTTTCTAGGCTGGCACATCCCTTTATTGATCTTGTCCTTCCCAGGTCCTGATAAGGTTTACTCCAGCAATTCATGGTTTATTATTCTCCGGTAAACCAAGAGTTAAACTCGTGTACTGATTTTTTTTTTTTTTATCTAAATCCTTCAGAGACTGAAAGAAGATATAAATCAACATATCAACAATATCTTAGGCATATATGTATGCATAAAGTATAAATATATACATGTGTATACACACACACACACACACACTTTTATATATATATAAACACAATGAATAAATTTAATCAGAGAAAGGCAAGCTGGCCTGATTCTTAATGCAAGGATCATCCTTCTCATCTGGCCTCTTCAAGTCTCATCTTTTAAGTTTTTCTTTGCTTCATTTATTGAAACTATAGAAACTCAACCCAAATTGCATTTTCTAGAGTTTGTTTTGGCCAATGCAATAACCTCGCTTGTCTTATGAGAATATTAGCGAGTGGGAGAAACATTGAGTTTGATGACCATATGCAGTGAAGGACAAAATGCACAAAGTCTCACACAAGATAATGGAGCTCTGCTCATTTTAGTCAACCTAAAATTCCTGCCAGTGTTTGTCTGTCTTCTGATGAGATTTCCGATCATTGCTGATCTTGTTTCAGTACCATCTCTTCCCCTGAGTGACAAAACTGCCCATAAGTTCTGGAATACTAATGCCAAATTCTCAGATTGATCCTGAATTTCTGTTATGGCCAAATACAATTTATAGGCAATAGAATTTAGGTAGAGATCATAATTTTACAAACTCATCTTGTTCACAAATCCCCTGGGCTAGATAGAAAAGTCAGCTATTGTTTAAGGCAGAAAGTCAGGTTTAGATTTAATACAACAAAGATTTTTCATTAGATGAAATATTAATCCTATTAAACATGTGACTTTTCCTTAGGTTTTCTATTTTATTATCTTTTATTGCTTCTATGTGTATCCTCCTTAGTTTCTGTTAGCAATATCTTATACTTTTAACATAAAAATAAGTCATTTTTTATAAAAGTTGATTATGGAATGGTAGGATAGAGGAGTAAAGTGGGCACCAGTCATATCAACATGTCCACAACTTACGGAAATTAAATGTAATTTTTAGTCTAAGCAGACTTAGTAAAATAGTGCTCTTTAAACTGCTGACAGGTTACATCCTCAATGGGCTAAGTGGGTGGTCTGTGTCAGAAAGGTTTTAGACAATCCCTACAAAAAAAGGAAGGAAGAAAATATTCTCC